GTAGGAGGGGGAGAGGCAGGAGGGGGGAAGACGAACCACGAGCGAGCGAAGCTGATGCCAAGGAAAGACTGATGTGCCAGAAGTAAAGAAGGCGTAACTAGCCAGTCGGCACTTGTAAAGTAGTAGTCCTCGCGATGATGTAGTAGTCATGACGATAGCGGAAAACTACCTACCTAGCCGCCAAGAATAAAATAAAGTGCGGAAAGAGAGCAGGAAAACCATCCGTATTATTCTAGGTGTAAAGGCGGCGAAGAGCAAAAAGCTGACGTGAGTTGAGAAAGAGGTGGAGGACGTAAGCTGGAAAAAATTGCTCGCCGGCCTGGCGGCGGAATTGAGGAACCTGCACAGAACTGGCTGATAAGCTGCTGGTAATGAACTGCTGGTGACATGCAATTGCTCCTCCCAAACCCCCAACCCGCCACTGACTCGACCGACCCAACTATGCTAGTCCGGGGAAAGAGGGGAAGGAGGAGGCAGTCAGGGGAAGAGATCATGAGAGAGGGGGACATTGCTGCCTGGCTGGTGGGTGGGGTTTTCCTCCCCTCCGTTCCTCCCCTTCCCCTCCCCTTCCCTTCCCGCCCCCCGTTTGGGGGCCGTAAGTTCACTTCCCGCCTTTCCACGCACCTTGGGCCGTGCGCCCGTACACAGACACAGTTTGTCGTACCGCAGTTCGTTGCCGCCCAGGAGCTTCAGGACCTGCGAAGGCAACCCCCCGCGATTTTCGGTATTGCGGGGGTTGAGGGGGTTGAGGAGTTGAGAGGTGTGTAAGGAAGGATAATGCGCGAAGCGAAAGGCGGCAAGGGTGAAGAGCCGAAAAGAGGTGTTTGGGTGTTTTTCCGTACCCTGGCTTGCAAGTCCAGTCCCGTGGCGATTCCCCTCAGCACTTGCAGCACCCCTCTGCCGGCCTCTCCCGCGGCTAAGTCCTCCAGCGGGGTCTCCACCACCTGGCGGGGTAGGGGGTAGGGGGTAGGGGTGCAGCAGAGTTTAGCTGGCGAGGAGGGGGAGGGGGAGGGGGAAAGACGAACCACACGCGATTGAAGCTGCTGCCAGGGCAAGATAGGGATGGGGAAAGGGGGGAGAGACATGTGGGTGAAACGACCTTCTTAGGGCCTTCATGTCCAATGCCGTGTTCGGGTTACGCGGTCAGCACTGCCCCTGCCCCTGCCCCTGCTACACCGGTGATCTGTCGTTTCAGATCCGCTGTACCCCCACTCACCCACCTCTCCCTGACAGGGCGGTGGGGGAAGGGACACCGAGCGGGTCCGCGGACATACATACATACAGACAGACAGATAGGTGAAGAGGCAGACAGACAGAGAGGCAGACAGACAGACAGACGGAGAGGCAGACAAAAAACAGACAGACAGTATTTATACGTGTTCAGATGCCGGGAAAGGGGGACTAGATCCCCGGTATAAACAACCGATAGAAGAAATTCTTATTGGAAATATGAGATGGGACAGACGCGGGGGTGTGCGGCGGGGGCGATGGCGGGGCGGGGGGCCGGGGGGGTTCCGTCGCACGAACGCTGCATATTGCTGTTTGCCTGTACGGCATCCGACTGCGTTCACTTAGATGCCCTCCCTTTCCCTTCCCGCTTCATCTACTGCTTCTAACCCGGCAAGTCCCAAAGCATTCTTCGTCTTCAGCAGGCTGCGAGTGTGGAAAGGACTATTCGCACGGGTCGCCTCGCCACAGACCGACCCACGGGTCCATTACAGCCCTCCCGGACCATTTGATGCGGGGAGCAGGGACGGGGGCGGCCAATCTAGTCCCTCCCTGCGGCGTTTGGTTTCCGCATTAGGGGATTATTTTTACGGGGCTTGTGGAAGGAAGCAATACCCGAATGAAAGGGGGGGGGTATGGAGAGCCCTGTCGTACCTCCAGCTCCTCCACTAGCCTGCTCAGCCGGGTCACCTCGCGGACGCCTTTGATGGCGGAGCTGCTGCTGACCAGGATGATGTGGTCGGTTTCGGCGGTGGCGCCGTTAGGTGGCGCAACCTCGCGGCGCGGCTCATCCGCGGGGCTGGGTGGAGTAGGGTGCTGCGGCTGCTGCCCCGGCTGCTGCTGCTGCTGCTGCTTCAGGCAGCGTGCCAGCTCCAGTGCGCAACATACCCCAGCAATGCCTCCTCCAAGTACCACGTATCGCATGGAGCAGTGTGATGTGGCCTAAGGGCCCAGCGGCACAGGTTCTGGTGGCTGTGACCTGATGATGACCCTTGTGACAAAACTGGATAAATAAGTCTGGGTGCGCTCAGGTCCGCGTTGTGTGCGAATGATGACCTTGAACATGCGAGATCAGGTGGATTTCATAATTGCTTGTCGGCGGCAAAGGCCTTTGCTGGTCATAAATGGTCGTTTGCGTCGTTCACTGCCAACGGAACGACTATCCCCGTTTGGCCCGTCTTGCGAAATGGGGATAGCTTGGGCTCACCTAAGCATGCATAATAAAGCTAATTTTTTACTGGTTAAGTTTTGTAACTGCAGCGAAGCGGCCCGGCGCATAGGGAGATTTCTTGGGCGCCGGGGATAACTGAACAGCTAACTCCAGTTGCAAAGACCTCTCAACGCTCTTGCCATAGATTACGAGGGGTTGCCTGATTACCTTGATCTGTGCGTTTACGTGGACCGGATCTCGCAATGGCATCGGATGCGACTCCGCTGGAGCAGGCGTTCGACAAGCTCAACACCTGCATCAAAAACCAGCAGCACAAGAAGGCTCTTAAAGCCTGTGATGAAGGTGCGCATGGGATGCGGACACTGCGGTGCTCTACCGCACCCTTCGGCGGCTGAACCTGAGTGCTTCCAGGTTTTGCGGGCCTTATATTTACCGAATGAAATGGGCGCCCCTCTTGATTTGCCAATGTCAGACTCCAGCTTGGGTGAAGCCAAGATTGGACCCAACGCCCCGCTTCAACCCCCCACCCCAACCCCTTTTTTCCCCCGCCCTTCCCGCACCTCTTACGCCTTCCCCACTTCCCCTTGCCAGTCCTCGCCCTCGCACCGGGAGACGTGGACGCCCTGCGTTGCAAGGTGGTGGCGCACATGCAGCTCTCCGAATTCCAGCAGGCGCTGGAGCTGCTCAAAAAGCCCGCGCTGGCATCTCAGCCGCTGGGCTTTGAGCGGGTAAGCCAGCCCCTGGGTGGGGATGGTGTTCCGGCTGCGGGTATCTCCCGCCGGACCCAGGCCCCCACAGCTTTCATAGCTTTCGGCAACTGCTTGTGGGGGAGACCCCCCCCAGAGGATAGGACCTTCCTGGCTGCCCAGATGCTCACGAGGTTCCCCCACCCCACCCACATGTCCCACGTCACCATCCTCATTTCCACCGCACACGAATGTCTTCGTGGCTCGTGGCGTTTCCGCCCCAACCCCCCTCACGGCAGCAGCTTCACTCGCTCGTGGTTCGTCTTTCCCCCTAACCCCCTAACCCCGGTGATCGTCCGTGCGCCTGCTGCCCTACTCGTCCGCCGCCCTGCACAGGCCTACTGCATGTACCAGTTGGGGCATATAGACCAGGTGGGTGGGTGAGAGGGGGTGGGTGGTAGGGGGTGAGAGGGGCATGGCTAGGATGCAGCCAGGGTGGGCGGCGGTGGGGCCGGGATGAGCGCAGAAGGCGCTCGAGCGCTCGCGAATGAAGGCGCGGGAACTAGGAATGCGCGAGTTCTGGTCAGGCGTGCTGCGCAGTCGTGGGTTGACGTACACTGCCCTTCCGGGGTGGGGAATGGGGATTTCAGTAAGGGGAAGTCCGGGGGAAGGAGGGGGGGCTGTGGGACCTGTTTAGGCGGTGCGTGGCGGCTTCCTACCACCCCGTCATTCCCTTTACCTCATCTCTTCAACCCCCGAGGTGACACACAAAACCCGAACTGCCATCCGCTGCCCTTAACTTTTCTCTTCGACTCGTACGTGGCATCTTACCCCCCGTTCTCTCTCCCTCCCCCCTCAGGCGCTGGCAGTGGCCAGTCAGGCTCTGTCCTCCCCCGACCTGGACGCAGCGGCCGCCGCGGCGCTGTTGCAGCTTCAGGCGCAGTTGGAGTACCGGAGGGGCCGTACACGTGACTGCATCAACACGTACGACAAGCTCTTCCAGCAGTACAAGGTACGCTGGCGGCGATGGGTGGCATGTATCTCTCCGGGGTTTCTGGACTGAACGTGAGCAGACGAACGCCTTTTACGAAGGAAGGTGATCAATCCTCGTTAGTTGGAATAAACCCTTTCAACATATACCTGTATTTTTACACACGTTGCTGCTGTATACACTGCCGTACGTAACTCCCTACGCGTTGTCGTACACAGGCTGATTCTTTGGAGCTCAAGACCAACGTCCTGGCTGCTTACGTGGCTGCGGGTCTCTCCAGTGAGCTGCCGGACCTGATGGCGGCGCTCAAGGTCCGGCCCCGGGACAGCTTTGAGGTGGCGTTCAACCGGGCGTGTGGGTTGGTGTCGGCGGCCGGGGGGGACCCGCAGCAGCTGGCGGCGGCGGAGGGGGACCTGCGGATGGCCATAAAGCTGGGTGAGCGGGGGCGGGGGGAAAGGCTTTTGGTAGGAGTGGCGGCCGGGCGAGCGGGGGCGGGGTGAGCGGTGAGCAGGGAGAGGAAAAGAGAGGAAAAGGTAAACACTGGCACATATCTCGGGTGTATGAGCGCATGACCGCATAACGCAGGGTTCCCTGAAGGAGGGGATGGGATGGCGGCTCCACAGGGCTTTGGGCGTCACCCACTTTGAAAGTTGTTATTGATTTGTGTACTCCTAGCCCTTAGCCACTTTCCATCCTCATCAGGCCACACATCCGCCCTCTAGCCAGTAAGTACTTCGCATCGCCTCCTTCCTGGCACAGCTGCCTTCTTCCAGGGCGGGGAGCTTCCCTCCCTCGGGCTCGCCGTCTTCCGAAACCTCCGTTTGGAGGGGCGGGGCACTTCACCGCTATTGTGTCCTAGTAGTCTAATCAGTACGTCCAGGCTTGGCAAAGCTACGCCCTCGTTAGACTCCCCCTCCGAGGCTTTCCTGGCCACCCTCCCAACCCGCTGAGCCTCCTGATCAATCCCTTGCTTACACATGCGCGCGTCTGTATGTGCATGCGTGTGTGTGCATGTGGCTGTGTGTTTCAGGTCGCGAGGCTCTGTTCGAGGAGGATCTAGGGGAGGAGGAGGTGGAGGACGAGCTGAGCCCCCTGGCGTGTCAGCTGGCCTACGTGCTGGGCAGATTGGGCAGGACGGCGGAGGCGGGGGAGCTGTACGACAAACTCATCCGAGGGTGAGTGGTTGCGTATGGGGTGGGGGTGGTGAGATGTTCACAGTATTCACCTTCATCATCCCCACCCCGCTCCCACCCCGCTCCCACCCCCACCCTTCCGCGGGGTTTTCCTCCCGTCACCTCTCCCTCACCCACCTATGTCGTATTTGGCGGTTTATTCTTTCGTCTTTCCTCCGGGTCATTTGACCCGCCCTCCCCTCCCCCGTTGTCTGTTTAATCTAATCCTGGATTACCCGTCTAGTCCCGCGGTATCTGCGTCAATCTTCAGTGGTTCGTCTTCCCCTCCCCCACCCTTCCCCCGCGCACTGGGCAGCTCCCAGCCCCTCAGCGATGAGGCCACCCGGGCTCTGGCCAGCAACAACGCCATCGCAGACGCCCCCCACCGCCTGGAGCCGGGACCCCACAACCGGAAGTACATCAACTCGTCAACCAAGAAGCTCGAGGCGCTCCTGGAGAGGCCAGGAGGAGGAGGAGGAGGAGGAGCGGCAACAGCGGCTGCTGCGGCAGCGGGTGATGAGGAAGGCGGCGGCGGGGCCACCGTGGGCTCGCTGGCGGGTTTATTAGCCCGCCACACTCCGGCGGGGTCCCTTCCCCGGTTTGCGGGGGCTCTGGAGAGCCGGCTGGGGGAGGGCCAGAAGATGCAGCTGCTGCTCAACCTGGGGCTGCTGTACCTGGTGGGTGCGGGGGGGGGGCTGGGCGGGGAGGGGAGGGGGGTTGTAGGGGTTTGGGGGGAGGGGAGCGGCGGGGTTTGATGGTGTGCCGAAGTTCAAGAGGGGTTGATATTGCCCAAATACGAACGAACACAACCTGCTGGGTCCCGAAGGAGTGACGGAAGAGTTTGGAGTACGGAGAAATTCGGTATGTGTGGGATGGGGCTGGGGTGCAGGGGGGGAAGGGGGAAGGGGGGAGGGACATATTGAGGAGGGTCTCCGGCGACACGGGCTTTGGGGGGTCGCATGTCGGCTGTTGCGGTGTATACATATGGCGCATGTATGTATGTATGTATACACGAACGGTGTCTGTCGTGTTTACTACCTTTGTTCCTCTATGTGGCGATCTGTCTGTCTGTGTGTCTGTCTGCCTCACCGCTCTGTGTCTCCTGTGCAGGTCGGCGGGCGCCACGAGGCGGCTCGTGAGCTCGTGGGGGTGTTGGTGGCGGCTCCAGGGGGCCCGGCTGAGCCGGCGGTGGCGCTGCTGTCAGCCGCGGTGTCGCTCTCACAGGGCAAGGTGAGGAGAGGGGTGGAGGAGGGAACTGTGTGGGCGGCAGGCGGCTCCCCTCCAACCCCCCTCCAACCCCGTACCGCTCGCGAAGGGACCTGATCCGAACCCACGGCGGTTCATTCCCCCTCCCCTCCCAGCGCCTCTACACCAATCTTTACTTCTTTAAAACGGCTTCGTTCTACTTTACTTTTCGTCCGCTCTTACGAGTCTTGGCGGCTAGGTAGGTAGGTAGGTTTCCGCGGTCGCCATCATTACATCATCCCGAGTCGCCGGTCGCCGCCTTCAAGGACGCCGCCCCTCCCAGCTCCCACCGGATCCCTTCGACCGACGGCTGCAGGGATGTCGGCAGTCACCTCCTTGGCTTTTGCTTAGGGTTCCCCCGGGCCCACCCTTCACTTCCCCAACAGACGGTGGATGCGGACCGCACTTTGGAGTCGTTTTGTTCCTCGTGTGGCAGCGGGGCCCCCGGCTGCCCGCCCGCCGCCGCCGCCGTGGCGCCCACCTTGATGAGGGCGCAGATAGCGCTGGAGGGGGGCGGCACTGCGGCGGCTGCGGGGCTGCTGGCGGGGCTGAGGGACGAGCGGGTGGCTGCCAGTGGGGCGCTGGTGGCCACGCGGGTGGCGCTGTACGAGCAAGTAGGTGGGGGTGGGGGTGGGGGACGGGGAATGTGTGTGTTGGGGGGGAGAGGGGGGTTTGCGGGTAAAAGAGGTGAGTGAAACAAGACGCGGGGAGGGGTAGGGGGAGGGGGGAAGGGAGCGGAGGAACCAAGGGCCCTAACGCCGAGATGAGGAGAGGGAGGGAGGGCGGGGCAGAGGGGGATAGGTCGAGAAGCTTGCATGGAGCTCTTCAATTCCGTTCACAAGTCGTGCCGTTCACGTCTTCTTAAGTGTAAGTATTTTAGTTTACTATGTCCTTGCCTGGAACCCCCACCTTCCGCTCCTACTCCCCCCCCCTGGCCGCCACCGCCAGCGCCACAAAAACCGGAGACCTCACCCTTATCCTCGCTTCCTTACTGACCACCCCCTTCCGCCAGATGAACGACACCGCGGGTGCCGAGGCTCTACTTGACGGGGCGGTGGCCCAGTGGCGGTCTCGGAGCGGGGAGGAGGGGGCGGCCTCCGCTCTGGCCTGGTGCCTGTCATGTGCCATTGGACTCAAGCTAAGACTGGGGAAGCTGGAGGAGGCAAAGCAGGTGTGTATGTATGTATGTATGTATGTATGTATGTGTGTGTGTGTATTGGGGTTGTGTGGGGAGAGCGGGTGGAGAGGTGGTATTTGGTTGCAGTGAAGGATCTCATTGAGCGACCAACCAATCAGTACAGTCGCTGCCGCATCACCGCATCACCGCAGGCCTTCAAGCAACTCCAATCGTACGGCGTCTCGTCCACCTCCGCCGGCGCAGCCACCCTGGCTCGTCTGGCCCGGGCTTGTGCGCTGTCCGACCCCGCCGCCGCCCCTGGACTCGTGGCCCAGCTGGCTCCGCCGCCCACAACTGCCGTACTGTCAAGAATAGATTTAGATGCGCTAGAGGAGGGGGCGGTGAGGGGCCCGGGGGGAGGGGGAGGTGCGGCGGGTGGCCGCGGCGGCCGCGGCGGTCCCGATTTGGCGGCTGGGGAGCTGGCGGCGGCTGCTCGGGCTGGAGGCGGGAAGCGAAACGGGGAGGCGATGGAGGTGGACCAACAGCCCAAGGTACGGCATGAATACGATGCATTACTCTACGGTGTGCCGTACGGTAGTACAGCGTATGATACTCGGGCTGCGTGGGGGCGGGGAGGGAGTGAGAGGCTGCTTCAGCTGTTCGCTTTGCCGTGCGTCCGGCTGGATTCGGATTTGTTAATTGCCTCCCGAACCCCCTACGAGGCCCCCTCTGCTCCCCGTCCTTGAATCTCCTTCCCTTCTTCCCCTCTTTCCCCCCCCCTCCGGGTCCCGTCCCCCGCACCATGAAGGTTAAGAAGAGCCGCAAGAAGCACAAGCCCCGGTACCCCGCCGGCTACAACCCCGACCTGCCCAACGGCGGTCTGCCACCCCCCGACCCGGAGCGCTGGCTGCCCAAGTGGGAGAGGTCGGAGTTCAAGAAGAAGAGGGACAGGCGGCGGAGGGAGAAGGACGCGGTCAAGGGAAGCCAGGTGGGGGAGAGGATGTGCGGGGTATGCGTTTGTGTGTGGGGGTTGGGGGGGTGGGGGGGGCCCGTGAAGGGTAGAGGCTCGGGAGGCATGCAGTTTTGTGCGCGCAGTTTTGTCCGTCTCCTCCTAACCCCCTTCGTCCTAACCCTTTACCTGGTACTTTTAGGTTGGCAAATTGAAACCTTATAAACTTCTTTTGCATCATATGGCCTTTCCCCCTCCCCCTCATTCCCTGCAGGGCGCTGGCAAGGTGGATGAGAGCCTGGACCGAACCAAGGCCCCGCCGCCCTCCGCCGCCGCCACCGGGGGCTCCTCGGACGCCGCGAAGGCCCCACCCACGAAACCCAACCTGCCGCCCCGTAAGGGAGGAAAGGGCAAGAAATGAGGGAGGGAAGGGAGGGGAGGAGGGGAGGGGAGGGGAGCTGCAGTCCAGCTACAGCGGGCAAAGTGGGTCCGTGTGGTGCTGCAGGTGCCGGGGCAGGGGTAGGGGTAGGGGAGTGCACAAATGAGGTGGTGGGTTTCCTTGCGGAGGTGTTCAGGAATGTTCATTTACCCGAAGGTTTTAGGATTTAGTCTCCTAGGGGAGCTCCACCTCTAATGGCCCTGTGGGGATCCTGGGGAGCTGCGTGAACGCGAGCAGGTCATAGGTACGGATGAGGGGATATTTCCGATTTGGGGAGGAGGTTTTTCCGAGGCCGACTGGAAGAGGTCGTCCTCTCCTTCCGGACTGAGGCCGATTTGGGTTGTGTTGGAGGCTGAGGAGGAGGGGGAGGAGGAGGGGGAGGGGGAAATTGGGGCGCTGTTGGAAACGTGTTTGCTCGTTGAGGATAAGCGGAGAGGGAGGAGGGTGGTGGCTGTTGAAGCAACCGGTTGCGGACTGAGCCTCCTTAGGCGGTTGACGGATGTGACTGTGGGATGTAGGAGGGGAAGAAAATGTTCACCATTTGCAAACTGCAGTTTGCTTTTAAAGCGCACAGTTGAGTTCGTCCGTTCACCGGTCAAGTAGATACTGGAATAAATTGATCCCAACCGAGTAAGGGTGTGTTCACATGTAGTGTAATTCGGAGTATATGATTGCAAGTCTATCTCGTTCCGGCGATTCGAAATCTATTTACATAAGATTGCGGCAAAAAAGTCACACAGTCGCGATTTGCCCATGACAGCCTACAGCTGGCCAGCGTTTAGACGTAATTGCAAGGAACGGTTTGTTAAACCGCCTTTCCTAAGGAATGAAATTCATAAATGACGCCGAATCAATTATCCCAAGAGGGGCCCGCAGAACCCAATTCCCGTTCAGGCCCAACTGGCTCCGATTTAGAATCCGATTCGCATGAATCAACCCTGATTCGTTTACGTCCTAAGGCCAAGCGCTGTTAGACAGGCTCAACCGAAGGCCTAGCAGCGTAGTACAAACTGTTACAGGGAGCGATCTATGAATGCCTGTTGTATCCCCCCACATGCTTGTTGAAGTCATACGAACCGAGAAGGCTTACGGTGTCGCCATAGATCGCTTACAGTCACTACCAAACATACCGGTAAGAGATATATACCATCTCACTTGCCCCTGTAAAGCACAACCATCACAATCCCTCCAGAATCCAGCTGTTCATTCAAAAACATAACCACGAGGTCGTCGAGAATTACGGATTGCGAAGATCTGCACAGAATAATGAAAATGCACCGATAGTGCAGCTGAAAAGGACAAATGAACGGAAAAAGCGAAGTAACGATGCGCAAGCTCAGAACGGAGAAGAAGCGTAACAACATGTAAAAGTTTCAAATAGTGCACCGCTGCGCCGTGTTTTAGCAGGGTGTTGTCATACATATCCAACGGGCCCCAAAGTCAAAATTTATTGAATCTTATCCTGCAAACATCCTGCTATCATAAAGAAGACCAACGCAAGCGGTTGTTTGGCGTGCAAAAAGCCAGCACGATTTGCAGCCCCTCTCTTCCCGCGCCTCCAAGTTTTTAAGAAACCCTCCCACAGCATGTGCAGCTCAGAAAGTTCAGGCACAAGCATGCTAGAAAAAGCCATGGCATGGCCACTTCCCTCCTCAGGCATTAGGACGAAAACTAGGCGGAGTGGCAACTCTCATTACGATCCTCTTTTGTTGGGATTCATGGCTAGTCTTCTGAATGCCGCAGGCCCCCCTTCACAGCTGCTGCCGCACCGGGTTATGACCCTCTCATCCAAGGTAGGAAAAATTGTTTTCGGAGTAGTATAGAGGAAATGAAAATATGTATAACCCCCCCCACACACACGCGATATTATTCTAATTAGGTTGATGCGTGGAATGAGAAAGGACTTAAGAAAGGACGTTTCCTGGTTCATCAAAGCAACCGACAGACACACAGCACATATCTAGCAGCACATGGCCGCCCATCCACCACCTCGACACAACTTACATGAAGAAGAAATCGTACCGCAGGCCGTCCGCTGCAGGTAAAAGCTAGAGTTGATAAAGTCAACGAAGGCGCGCAAGGAAAGGAAGGTTCAAACTTGTTTTATCCGCCGGTACTCTCCGGTAAAATCGTATGTGCCGAACGAGCAATGCAGTCGTCCCTTGTCGAAACAACGAGAAGCTAAAGATTAGCAATATGATTGTTTAGCAAATCACGCAAGCAAACGGAGTAATTCAAAAGTCGCAGGCCTGGCGCACCCACACAAGCCTTTAATTGACAGCTAGTGTTTGCCAGCAGAGCAGCCGCTATCGCCTATTTGTTGGAGAGGCCCGTCACGACTCCTCGAAGTCTCTCGAAATAGACCAGTCTAAAAGCCACTCCGCGATGGCAGGTGGATGTCGCAAGATGACCCTTCATTCGTTCGCTGGAGGGAAACGAGCAGGCCTTTCAATGAGCGCCAGCGCGAGTTTATCTCCCACAGAGATGCGCTTGCCATCGCGCACCCCATGCGGCGCCGTTGGCTGGGCTCACAACGGTATCTCCACCGGGGCCTGGGATGCGGAGACGCATTGCCGCCGATGCCCTGTGCGCCAGCTATAAGATTTCCCAAGCCGCGCCCCCATGCGGCCCCCCTGAGCCTGCGCCGCCACCGATTGAGGCGTCGTAGTGGCGGCGTTTGCGCCGGTGCTGCTTTCGACAGGGTTCACAGCGGCGTGTAGTGCCCCGTGTGTTTCGGGCTTGTCATCGTTGTTCTCATCGTCGCCATCGTCATAGTATGCCGGTCGAAGGGACTTAGCGGATTTGGACCGGAGTTGCGGCCGACTTGGGGTGGCGGGGCTGATGGATATGCAGCCCGGCAGGCTGGTCATTGTAGAGAGCCCATTAGTAGGCATCCCAAGAATGGTTTCCTTGTAGAGCGCCTTCATCGCCGCGAGCTCCGAGGTTAGCAGGTCAATCGTCTCGTCTCGGTCCGCTGCGAGAAGGGGCCGTTTGCTTGTTTTGACACTACAGTACTTTCTTATGTTATATTGACACCCGACAGCAGAGAAAGTTACGAGAAATATCTGAATATGGCTAAAGAGTACGGTTGTAACAATGACCATGAGCTACAGCTACTTTAAGTGCGACAAAACTGACGAATCTGTTTTCGAAAGAAGAAAGAATTGATTCACTATCAAAAGTGCAGAAGCAAAGAACAATAATTGCTTTTGCTTTAATATTATTGCTAAGCTGTAGCCCCAATCAGTATTCGGAAGGGACAGCGTCCAAAGTGTCAGCTAGCTGTGCGCAGAGGAACATACGGTAAGGTTGATAAAAGAAATCTTGTGGCACGTCAAATAAAATGAAATGAGATGGGCGCTGGTTTCGGCCCGTTTCCGCAGTTTTTCGGCGTTGCTTGTTGATGCATTTTGCGTTTAAGGCTATTTGTAAACAATGAACACGGTTTTTGGCTTTCGTGGAAACCTGTTGTGCTCTTTGCCAAGCTCTTGACTGGCTCTGCTTCCCCTCTCAAGCTCAGATCACACGACGCCCGACGCTAGCATGCGACGCCGCTATTCGGACGCATTTACCTAGTTTCATGCAAACCCCCCAAGTAGTGAACTTTTAAATATATAACCGCTATACACTTACCCAGAAGCCGCTCGGAATTGACAAGACGGGACTGTAGGTCCTCTACCGCCTCCTCGGTCGGGCCCTGTTTGACGAGGCTGCCAGAGATGCTCTCGCGGTTTTGAGCGCCGGATAGCGACAGACGATGCACGAAGCTGCAGGCACTATGCCAGAGATCTCCGCTATTATTGTTGCTGGCTTGGTCCACCTTCTCTTCTCCCGATGCTTCGCCATCGCTTTCGATATTACCCACCATGCAAACCTCCCCCATACCGTAAAAACGACGACGGGGCATTGTTGTCTGCGAAATAAGGGCGGTTTCCAAGGGCAGTTTCGGTGTCACAGTTCGGAAATGGCCATGGACATAGGGGGCACAATAAAACTGCTAAAGCGAGGAAAGTATCACGGTTTTCGGCATGACGTCTTTATCATTAAACACGTCTAGCATTGCATTGCAGGCTTTTCGGCAATTGTACTGCACTGTAAGGTGCTGAACAAGAAGAAAGCGCAACGGTCACTTGCTTCATGTAACGGTACTTACATCGCGAGCTTACAGAAGCGGCTTGACAAGGCGATAAGACCAGAAAGATCTAAAGGCGACTCGCGTTCCTCCCAGTACTCTCTCCAGGAAAAGTTGCGGCCTTCTCAGCTACGATGTGCGGGAGCTTTCCTGGCTTAGGAAAAGATTCAACAATCTACAAGATGCGAAGGCTGTGCTCTTGTGTGACGTAACCCAAGCAAACCAAATCACTCCAAGTGCACAAACTTTTTGTCAAGTCCAGGGGAGCTTAAATGTTCCACCGTGCCACGTGTACTGCTAAACAAGTTAACAGCGCAGTACAAAACAAGGTAAAACCGGATCCTTGGCGATATGGAGGCGGACGCAATCAACCGCATTTATGGGCTATGCAAAGGCCTTGCCGCGAACCAACGTAAGGGAATCCTGTTAAGAGATTGTCGCCTCCTCAGCGGATAGGCCGGTGCGTGCGTCGGCTACCGTAGTCCCTGCCCTTCTGTCGGACTGTTAATGCTCGTCCATCTGACTCTGTCTGACTGATACCAGAAAACCGCTAAACAGACACCAACATGCAGTTGAATTAACGGCTTTTCGCGGTATGTACTACGTAGTCTCATAATTCATATTGCAAGCCTTGCGAGCCAGGATGAAACTTTGCGTCGATTCCTGGATGGAAAACGTTAAGAAGGAGCGCCCCGACCCCCGCTCTAGTTTGAGCCACAGCCGACCATATCTTACATGAGAGCAATATCTTTCAACAAGATCGCTGATTTTTTATGGCCTGCGCTTTGGAAATTCTGTTCACATGGAGATTGACGAGAGTTGCGGTCGACGAGGCAGGGAAGGGCAGGAGGATAAGGATACACAATCCGCTTGCTCTGAGGACAGTCTCCCGATAGTGCGTCGCACAGATTACCCCGTTAACCTAATTAAGAATCGAAAACTCCTAACTCCACGGCTTTCCACAACTAGTCGCCACGCCGTTGCCAATTACAGCGCTGCCCGCCCCCCCATTCTCCGTCAAGAGCCTGCAAGGGCTCGGACGGATCAAGGAACTGCCGTCAGCTGGGGGAAAAACGTTACATACATATCTACATACACACACAAATACATGCGTACAGATGCATACATACATGTATACATATTCAGGTTAGGCACTACTGGTAAGGCACGGACCATTGCCCCCGGGAGATCTGCCAGGGTCGAAAATCCTTCCGATGGTGGAAGGTAAAGTGGTCCCAGTCGATGGACGGTGGTGACCTGGGTTGAAGTGCCGCTTTGACTCTTCCAGGCAGGGGGAGGGTTGCCCGCCACTGCACCCGGCCGAACGGCAGAGGCGGCACCACTGTTCCCTGTCGGACCTGTTCTTGTTACTATGTTCCCTTAGGGGGCAGTTTTGCGCCGCAAGGCATACAATCTCAGTATCTTGGGAACGTACGACACCGTTGCTCTCGGCCTCTCTCTTACCCCTCTTTAATCTTCTCTATCCCTTTTCATCTGCCAGAGGTCGGGTAAGTCCTTGAGGCTCCGTAACGTGAGCGGGGGGAAGTTGGAAAGAGGAAATGAGGTTTCCCTCCCGACCCCCCGGGGGATCTCCGGGCACCTACCCGCATCCGCCGTTCGCGTCCGATGCACCTCCGGTTGGGTTTCTTCAACCGACAAGAAAGGAAAATACCTAATGTCTGATCACCCTCAACTAGGTTTTTAACTTTAAAGCTTTGTTTGCCGTCCCGCGGCCCCGAGATCAATCAGCCAAACAGATAGAGCCTTTAAAACTGCCAAAAAGCCAACGCTTGTGTATTACCTAGAAATATTATATCCAGGAGGACAAGCCCCCCGGGGGGGGGGATAGCCCCCAGGCTCACAAAAGAGGTTCACAGTATCCAACGTTGTCATTCATTCATTCATCCGCACAGGCTACTGGAAAACAGTACCGGTCATTGCCCTGTTCGCAGATACCTATAGCTATCGGTCACGAAGGTATACGATATCACCGACCCCTAGGGGGCAGTAATGGAGTTGGATGTCCACGTCGTGTGCGAGCCCCGGCGTTTATCGCCCGGGCGGCGAAACGCCTCCTCTTCCCTTAAATTAGTAAAATCCGTTATTAACGGCATTGCTGTTTAATCAGCATTGCTCTGTAACCAACAACATAACATAATAACCACCACCGCAAACCACCATATCGCGTCGGCACCTCCGTACCTCATACCAAAGAAAGAAGCGTCGGGAAGGGGCTGTAACAGGCTATGGATGCCCATATGCTCGCTGCCCATTTCCGACCGCCGTTACCTAGGTATCTACAACAACCTACCGAACTCAAATACAAACCACCAACGGTCACGGCGTAACGGCCCACGGACACAACACAGTGAGCCCAGTTAGTTAGTTCAGGATGGACCTCGACTCCGCAAGACCTCAACAGCACCTGCCCATACACCTACATACCTACCCTTCCTCAAATTCCTCTGCTCGCTATCCATCCATCACACACGACACACACAATCACACACACACTCCCTAACCCCTCTTTCCCCACCCCTCGCCCCCCCTCCTTTTCCCCAAACCACCCGGCCTCAGTGCTTCCCGGCCGACTCCCCCTTAGCCGCCCGCCGCGCGCCCTCCAGCGTATTCTGCAACAACATCGCAATCGTCATGGGCCCCACGCCCCCGGGTACCGGTGTGATCAGGGAGGCCTTGGCCGCCGCGCCCGCAAACTCCACATCCCCCACCAGCCTGTAGCCCTTCTTCGCGGTGGGGTCGTCCTTGGCGTTGATGCCCACATCGATCACCACTGCCCCCGGCTTGATCCAGTCCCCCGTCACCATCTCCGCCACACCGCACGCGGCGATGACGATGTCGGCCTCGGAGCAGATGCGCTGCGCGTCGGGTGTCTTGGAGTGGACCATTGTGACGGTTGCGTCGCGGCGCTGGAGGAGCAGGGCCGCGGGCATACCCACGATGTTGGACCGGCCGATGACACACGCCCTGCGACCAGAAATGGGGACCTTCATGCGCTCCAACAGCTCGATGCAGCCCTGCGCGTCGCGTGGGCAGTGGGTTGGGGGTTGTGAGGGGGAGTAGCGGGTAGGGCGTGGTTTGAGGCTTTTGAGTGAGTGTACGGCACGGCGTGTGGGTTTGGGACCGTGTGTGCTTGTGTGTGGGGGGTGGGGTGGGGGAAGGGGTGTTGGTGTATGTGGCAGGACGTCAGCATTGCCCCCCAGATGCAGGTCTCTCTCTCCCTGCCTGGTGCCTGCCTGCCTGCCTGACCCCCGCGGCTCCACAGAGCCGTCCCTTCCTCCCCCCTCCCCCATGCCGTACCTTTGGCGTACAGGGCACAAACAGCGGGTCCCGGCCCCTCATGGCCAGCGACCCGATGTTGAGGGGGTGGAACCCGTCCACGTCCTTGTCGATGGAGATGGCGTCCAGGATGCGCTTCTCCGAAATATGCTTGGGCAACGGCAGCTGAACCAGGATGCCATGGACCCGCGGGTCGGCGTTGTACGACTCAACAACCTGTGCACCAGAAGGTATTAGGAGAGGGTTTTTCATTAAACGTTAAGGAGGAGGACAGGGTGAGAGGGATGCAACGTAATGCGAGCGCGAACTGCCTTTGCCGGATCGCAACTCTGTTCTCCATTTCGCACTACCAGTAGTGGCGACAACATGTCCCCCTGCTGCTGCTACTGCTACTGCTGCTGCCCCCTGCGGTACGGCGCAGCACACGTGGTGGCACTACTCCGCGTGTTGCAATACGGTTCCAATCCCCCGAACCTCCAACCCCCTCTACGGCCCATAACAACGTACGGAGGTGGCGGTTCACTGCGGGCCACTGCGGGCAATAGCGGTTCACGGTTTGCGGTCCCGAGGCCCCCACCACACACACACACACACACACACACACCGGAGCCCGGGTAGTGACTCACGCGGCCCCTTCCCATCCCCCTTACAGCCCACATCCTGTCTCCAAATGCCAGGAGAGCGCCAACACCGACCCCCCTCCCTTTTACCAGTTTACCTGTCCGGTTGGGAAGTATTACGCATCCAGGGCTTGGATGCACACGGCCTGCCCTGCCCCGGCCGCTCGTCTAAGCCGGTGTAAACCCCCACATTACCCCAAACCACACACGCACGGGGCAGCCGCATACACGTCGTACACGCACACACACACACATACGCACACACACGGACACGGACACAGGAACCGCACCTTGAGGAGCTCCTCCTCGGACACGTCAGCCGGCAGGTCCGTGCCGTACGAGTCGAAGCCCACCTCCGCGCACGCTTTCTTCTTACTCCGTACGTATGTCTCGCTGTCCTTCCGTGAACCCACCAGTACGACAGCAAGGCCAGGCGTTAGGCCGTACTGCTGCTTCATGGCCGCAACCTCGGCGGCAATTTCACTGCGGATTGTGTCGGCAATGGCTTTGCCATCAATGAGCTTGGAGGCAGGGACGGGGTTGAGAGCGGGGGCAGGGGGCGCGGCGGCGGCAGCGGCGGCGGTGACCATGGGGTTGCGCACGACGGCAACGCGGCGGCACCCGCGCGTGGGGGCCCCTGCGCGGCCGGCAGCCGATTGACGGTGATGGCAGCTGAGGGCCATGGCAGTTTGTCGCTGTGTGGTTGTGCTTTTCCGAGAGCGCTAGAAATGTCCTGGGACAGGGGAAAGGAGACGGAGGGCGCGGGGAGGAAGTGGGCCAGGGAGGGCTGCGCGCGAACAGTGCGGACTTGGTGCGGCGGATGGTTTCGGGTTGTGGACGTGGCGGCGCTGACTGGGAATAGAGACGTTAAGTACAGCCGTAATGAAAGACATTGGAGCTGGGACGTTTGGATGAACGACGGGGAGCCTCTGATCGTCGATCACACGTGCCGGCCGACACTCTCGGCGTGAATCAATTGCGCGCCCGGTGCTGTCCTAGGGCTGTTGATAAGTTACCGCTTTGATGTGAAGGTGAAGCTTTTACAAGTATTTACCTATAAATCCAATTGACTCTTTGGCGCACAAATCGTTCTTACCTAGCCGAAAAGCAGCCAAACACACTCCGAAGAATTGCGTATACAGCTACAGACAAGCTAAATACACGGAATTCAACGGATACAGATAGCAAATTCGCAATTATACATCCGTTTGTAACTTTGACGCCGCGTGACCGCATGGTAGTACAGCATGGGCCTTATGCACGTTTCACACGCACAGCGCGCCCTCGTATTGCATGATGCCTAATCTGACAAACAACTTATAGACATCTGGCGATTGAAGCATGTACAAGCCAGCTTTCTATCTCTGCTTTGCATTCCAGGACCCCGCGTTATGGCTGCTCTCATATCAACTTCCTTGTCCGTCGGCCGGTGCGCATTGGGATTGACTGAGAGTTGAATGTAGTAGGTAGCAGTCACGAATGAATGACCCAATCTTTGGTTGGTTAGCAGCAGGGACATACATGAGGGACACTTTGTTGATAAAGTAACTTGATAAATTTGAGGTCTTTATCCGCCGTACACGAAAGGTGTTATGCGGCCCGAAGGGCCGCCCGACGACCTAAGTCCGCGGTCAATGTGAAGAGTCGCGGACCATCGTACTGGAAGACAGAAATACACCCGTTTCCGAAACCAGAAATGCCACGTTTGCCGATGTCTGGCTCTTATATGTAGGAAGATACAGGTAACTGTTGAATTAGGCAAAGTCCGTTGCACCGCTGGAGGAAACTTAGCGCCCACATACAACGCCCACTGCTGCAATCGCGCTTCCAATGTCACACCTCGCGCATCGCGCAACCTCACCGACTCCGGTTAAAGCATCGAACCTGGCTACCCATGGCACGCAGATGGGATGAATCCCTGTACACGCCTGCATGCCCCTCCAAACGTAATGTTAAATTCAGCCCTATGAACATATGACGCCAAACAACGAATTTTCCGTACACATCGCGCATCCCCGTTTGCTAAGAAGCACGTCGTCCTTGATTATCACGCGCCAACATGAGTATGACCACAGCGGTGGGCACACTTGTAAGGCGCGTCACGTCACCAGAACACATGGCATCGCGTATGTAACCCTAAAACCCTGTAACAGTACACGCTAATATGCGAACCAGATAGATGCAACATTTCACTCCCGGCAGCCCCACAGGCTAGGCAATGCAGCTAACGATCAGGATGGCCACTCAAAATGGAAAGCAAATGCCACCAGCTACTCCTTAAGTTCGCTAGCACCCAACTGTGTAGACGGAACAAACGTCCCGGTGGGCGACCCACATGGCAATGAGGCACTTTCAAGGAGCACAGCAGCTGCACAGCCATCATGCGCCGCAACTTCGTCCAATGCCGTTGTTCTCACCATGGCAGTCCACAGCTGCATCCAGCACTTCAGCGGCTTTTGCACCACATCGACCAGATCGCCCAGTCCACGTGTAGCAGTCGCTCACCTGGCGGGTCGACTGGCAAAGCGGAAGCGTAGAGTTGGTAGTCCTCGCTGAGGCAGGAAGAAGTCCAACCCAGCGGCAAGCACTAGCGTACATAAACGCGTACGAAACAGTTAGAGACGGCAGCAGCGGAGTCTTGAACTCCGAACATTTAGTAATGTGATATGTCAGTGTCTGGCCAGAGCACCCCGCCCGGGTAGCTTATATCTCTGCCTACCTGCCGGAGATTCCCTAACACGGTCTTGCCGTACTAGGATAATGTCGGTGGGGCCCGGGGCCCCAGCCCGTTAGGTTCGCTTACGAACAACCGCCATGTTTGATACATGTGACGAAGCTTGTAACATGTACGAAACTTGAGACGAATCGTTAACGAATTAACAGGTATTGTTAAAAATGTAATCGTTGAAATATTCTAAGGGAATGTAGCTTGCTAAACCACGTGTCTGCCTTGCTGGGGGTTGGGGTGGGCGGAGGTGTCCGATGGATGAAACCCATCGGCTTCACCATGCCGACAACTTCATCCATCACACGCGCACACCTGGATGCAACTCTATCCTGGGTCAGATCTGGTGCATCTGCGACCCTGACGGCTGCTCCCGGCCGATTTGCTGGCTGAGGCAGCTCCTGCATGCGCTGCTCCAAGAATGTCCATGCACTCACCAAATCCGTAGTGGGCCAGCAGTGAGGGTGCAAGATCACGTGTATCCGATGCAAATGAGGAGCCCAGATCGTACTGCTGGCAGAAGAGCTGGTGCACATCGAAATTTTCCTAACTGTGCAGCTGACTGCTCGTGTACGGCAGCAGCTCACTGCAGCTCTTCAACGGTGAATAGGAGCTTTTTCGGACCTTCATTCTATCCTCCTGCTGCTGTCGGAAGGCAGCTGCCTCGCTGCAGTACCTGTCAGCCACCTGCTTCATTAGCTCCTGCTGATTGATGTACTGTGACCTCCTGATGTTGTATGATGTTGTTACAGAGTGGTATAGCTTATATACCAGCGGCCCCCTTTCCCGAGGCAGTTCCCTGCTCTCCCCTGCAAGAGGGACACCCTAATCCATTCCCCCATCCGACTTCAGAATGTATTCGTTGGGTTCAGCAACTCACCAACAGCATCCAACAAAATCTAGCGGATCAACGGCGCCATAGCTTAGTTCCTGGTCAGCTCGCAAATTGCTATAATCACGTCCTACACCGTCCACAAGATGGGGGGCCACCTCCCAATTCAACACCCCTCACAAACTCGGAACATCTGGGAGCGGAAGTCAGGCCTTAACTTCTGCCAGCCACCTGCCTTAATGTTGTATATATGTACAGGGTACGTATACGATAAAAATATCAGTACGTGGAAAATATGGTCGTACTCGCCACTACAGGAAATCTGACCCATGAGTCATGGGTAACCAAAAAGAACCCCAAACAGGGCCGCTACAAATCAATGCATTCAATTACTAGGAACTATTCACAAATGAATGCATCAAGTACTTAAACCTTGCAAGGTATCACTGGCCAATTGGATACCATTGGCCTAGAAGTGCATTCATGAGACTGTGTTGTTAGGCCCAAGGAGGCCTTTTATGCCACATGCCCACCTCTTTAGCACCCTCAAACATTACACCAACCCAGCCCTCAGTAACAAAGTTCCATACCGCCTTCCTGTATGTCTGCAATGACTCGAATGGCGAAATAGCAGAATGTAATCTTGCATCCTTCACAACCTTCCTAACAGTCCACCTCTGCCATTCATCTGATGACACCAGACAGCAGGCCATGGCGCCTTCATGATTGTTGTCACTAGCCGAGAAAGCAACATCAGTAATGACTCCAGCATCTGTTGTAGTTGAATAGGAATCAGCCTTTCATCCCAAGAGGAGGTATCGAACAGCATTTTCACCGTGGACTCCAAAGTGCCCAGGGATCTGGCACCCATGCGACCTGACCATGAATGGACATGTGTTGCATCGGCAGCCCAGGATATTTAAGTTAGGGTCAAGTGTTGCATGTTAGCGGCTGACATGGCTTGCCCATATGTACAGAGAAACATGGAGTAGCATATATCATCAACGGGTTCACATTCACAGCAGGTTGGCCAAGGCACATGACTGAATCCTGGCCTGCAGCCGTTGCATGTTCAGTGGTTTCCACACTACCCCCCATTAGTTGCACCTCCGGTAATCCAGAGCAGGGTTGCACCTCTTTGACAGCTCATCCAGTGTGGGTGGCTCAGCATCATCATCAAATCGACTCATCAATCCTATTGCCTGCTATGTCGTCTCGTGTGCGGGCACCCTGTCCTGTGGTGCACCTGTCGACTAAAGCAGCAGCCCTGAGACGAGCCCCACCTTCACCATCCCCGCCAGTGCCAGCAGCAACCCCACCAGCACCAGCTACACCACCACCATAGCCAGTGCCGATCCTGCCAGCACCAGGTACGCCAGTATCAGAGTGTTTCTGGCACGTTATAGCACCTGATAAACTTGCTGCAGCACTGTGACTTTGTGAAAGCTTTAAAACCATGCCAAAAACCCAGAAGCTGCACTCAGTGCTGGCAATGGGTGATGGTATCGTGGCCATCCGTCAACACAGCTGCTACTGTGACTTTTGCCATCGTCTTGCAGCAGGTATCCAGAGTGTCTCAGTCAACTGCATCAACGACGACTTTGTGGTGAAGTGGACTGCAGTGAGGCTGCAGCGGTCAGGTGCGCGCCTGATGGACCACATTTTGGCCAACACCTTCATAGCCCTGTTGAATGATGAGCCCCCTCAGTTTCCGGAGTACGAATACAACATCATGTTCGTGAAGGACATGCTAACTAACCTTGGATGCACAGTGGAAAGATGGCAACCAGGAGGAGTTTGAGCCCAGGACACGAATCATGGAAGGGCTGATGAGTGTATCATGCTACATCTCATCTACACTTCTATTGAGACAACAGGTGGCTTCTGTCTGCAGCCCGGGTTCATGACCTCATCATGGCCAGCATGCCTACAAGGATGAAAGACAAGAAATTCTGCATATCAGAGGACACACATGGAGTCATTTTGGAGAAGCTAACTGCTCACGAAGCAACAGCAGGTGGATTGGATGACTCCTCTGGGCCTGGTGTGGAATGGCTTGCTGAGGAGCATGGAAGGAGTCATCCACCTACTGTTGCATTGCGAGCAGTTGTCTTCTCTAGAATGACTCCATGTGTGTCCTCTGATATCCAGAATTTCATGTCCTTCATCCCCACAGACATGTTGGGTCGTTAACCCGGGCTGCAGACAGAAGCCCCCTGTCGTCTTGATAGAAGTGCAGATGAGATCCGTCGGCATGGTGCAGCTGTCAGCCTAGATGATTCATGTCCCAGGCTCAAACTCCTGGTCACCATCTTTCCAATGTGCATCCAAGGTTAGCATGTCCTTCACAAGCATGATGTTGTAGTCATACTCTGGAAACTGAGGGGGCCCATCATTCACCAGGGCTATGAAGGTGTTGGCCAAAATTTGGTCCGTTGGGTGCAATCCTGACCACTGCAGCCTCACTGTAGCCCACTCCGCCACGAAGTTGTCATTGATGCAGTTGACTGAGACACTCTGGATACCTGCTGCAAGATGATGGCAAAAGTCACAGTAGCAGCTGTGTTGATGGATGACCATGATACCATTACCTGTTGTGAGCACCGAGTGCAGCTTCTGGGTTTCAGGCACAGTTTTAAAGCTTTAACTAAGTGACCATGCTGCAGCATGCTCATCAGGTGCTACAACATGCCAAAAATGCTCATGGATGCGATAGACCTCCAAGGTCATGCCGGTAGGCCCTTCTATGTGTACTGGAGTCTGCAAGGACGGGGTACAAAAGGAGAGGGACAACTAGCAGCTTTTAGTTGAAGCAGTCATCTGCCTGTGACAAGGATGCAACACTCACCAGGCACTTCACATGCCATATACCATCCTGTCGCATGGACCTATCTGCCATCTGCTGTCCACTTGTAAGTGAATCCTGAGGTGAAGGTAACTAATAATGGACGTGCACGTGACTTCACCTTGAATTCAGCATTTCCGAAGGCCATAATATCCTTGGTTGACTGCAGTCTTCAGCTGAAGCAGTGCACCTTGGTTACACTGAAGCTCGTCCAGGATAGCCAGCTTGCCAATGCCTCCCTCCCCACCATGCAAACCCTTGCCATGCCCCGCTTCATAATAGTCGCATTGCACCCACCACATTCGCGCATGTCTACACATGCAAACATACGTGTCCATCAATCACTTGTGAGTGCACAATTGTCAACGTTGCCTCACCAACACATGCCTAACCAACCTTGGCCTAAGGATAACATGCACAGCCTAGATGCAAGGAGGCCGACGAACAGGCGCACAGAGACCGAGCGCATAGGTGACCACAAGAAGCCGCATGCGAAGCCAAAAATATTCATATCAAAAGATTCAGGCACTTACCGCCGCTCCGGACCCAAGACCTAGAACTTGTGGACTCAGACAACGGGCGGCAATGTAAGGTCGGCCAGTAGCTTAAGTGACCCGTCCCGACCTGCAAATTCCAGCTCCGAGCAGGCGACCTATGCAATACGATCCATAGTCTGCTCGTTTTCAGGGCAGGCTAAGAGTGTCGAGGGTCTTGGGCGGGAGATCCAGATGTTTGACCCCGAACCTGGCGAAGTGTAAGGTGCCCTTCCAGGAAAATTCTCGGTTGTCTCTAGATGTCTTGCAAAATGAGGTGCACAATAAGTGCGGGCCTGTGCTGCAGCAAGACGGTCAACGGTTTTTTCGGGGACGCTAGCACGCCATCATTTCCGCCGCCATATGCACCAGTATTGCAACAGCGACTATAAGTGTGCATTTTGTGTATGGTCAATAGGAACAATGCTCACAGTGTATATGATTGACTGAATTGGTGATATTGCAAGACAGCCGGGCGGGTCCTTGTAACGCCGCTAAGGCGGCCCTTGGCTCACCGGGCCAACGGTCATCGTACCAACGGTACATTCAAGAACTATTCATAATCTTCCATTAGAAGATGCAGGTTGCAGTACGTTGAAGATTAATCAATCTGTTACTGTTGGGTATTGGTATTTTTTTTTAGTTCTTGTTTCCAGTTTGGCGGTTCATGAGCCTTTTGGCTCGTCTGGACCGTACAAGCTTGAAGCTTGTAAACGTGAACGTAAACGTAAAACGTCTTCCAATACCAAACGGTATTTATCAATACCACCTTTATCGTTGGATAATTCTCTTTGTAACTGCTTCGCCAACTGCCGAGCTTTGTTACAGTCCTGGCTCGAAGTGAGGCCCACCCTGGAGTTAGTTGGTACCGCTTTCATGTACTTCCTCAAACAAACTGCTTCTATAGTACTGTGACGTTGTATTTGTTATATTCATGCAAACTGAGCTGAAGTTGCAAGGCGCGACAGCAGTTGCCGGTGCCATGCAAGCGCAGCCGTCCCGGGACATAGCCGCAGGGCTAGAAATCGACTCATAGGGTTACCAAACCGGCTTGCGCAGCATGCACATATGTGTACGATCACCCCCGGCCGGTAATTGTCGGCCGACCTCAGGACTGATGTCAGAACGGCGGCGAAGCCTTTTGATGCTTGGGCGGCGTGTCAGGAGCTGACACTTGCTTTCCACAGCAGATACCAGCCCCTCATAGTTGATGCACCTCAGGCAAACGCATACACTTCGATGGGCACAAGTTAAAATGTAGGAAACAGTGTCGACACCAACAAAACATGCCAATGTATAAGCGCAAGCAAGCATGTTCGCATGTAAGCCTGACATACCTTGAAGGGCTTAACCCACTGCGGTTTTGCACCCCAGAAAACGCCGTATGACATGGGTTTGGTTGCGACCTACTTCAATGACCTGACATATGGCAAGTACAGCTGCTTGTAGCTCCGCTGGACGAACTTGCGCGGCAGGCAAGACCGCACAGATGTCATGCCGCCGGGCACTGTTACCCTCACATAGTCGTCGGCTCGTGGGCTGGGCTCGCTGTTCGCCAACCAGAAACTTCTAAGAACAAAATGCAAAGTTTCCGCACCTGTACTGTCACAGCGTTGCACTAGCCGGTAGGGTACATACAGTTTTGCGTGCAAGCCACTTAAGGGGGGGGACCCCTCATTTTATGCCATAGGGATGGGAGTAAGTGGGAGAGGAACTTGCCTGCATAATAAGTATTGCTGTTTGCGCGAGATGGCTTACTGTAACGTACCACCCTTTTGGCAGAGGGCTACTGCCAACAGTACGGTGGCGTCCTCATGTGCTCGCATGACGGGTGTGGACGTCGGTTCATAAACAACTCTCACGCGCAAAACCCTGGAAAAGGTCGTGATCGTGATCCACGGCAGCAAAGCCATCGACGTGGAGGAAAGCGGAGCCTGTTTGCTGCCGGTGAAGCAGCGAGGCCCGCCAGACGAGGACGCAATGGCAGTGTCCCTAAAATGCCCCCAAGTCCCCGGCGCGCAAATGACAGGCAAGTACAGTGTTTCTCTGCCACGTGGGTGGTGTGGGTAGCAACAGAGTTTCAAGTCCCCAGAACAGGGTTGCGACCATATTTCAGGATAACACGCCGAGCAAAATTACGCCTTAACACGTCGGAATACACCCCAAAATTCCGTAGGCGTCCTCCTGGCGTGAAGTAGGCGTATTATTTTATATGTTTCTGGCAAGAATGTTATTGCAACTGCTGTCCTTTTGGTCGTCGCCCCGTCTCAAATTTGAAGCCACCTGACGTGTATCAACCACATGCTTGCCACCGTGCTTGTAATCCCGCAGAGTACTTCAAGGAAATATACGTGTGCAAAACGTGTTTTGTGCTCACCAAGAACCCTAATTACATTACACCTCTGTAACAGGCTGTTACAGCCAGTTCTGAAAATTGTGCGCCAACTTATATTGCATTGCCGTTGAAAGCTTTCAGTTCCCTATCAGTCCGCTATCTCGCTGGCCGTCGGTGGCAAGACACTTAGGGATAGACGCGCCAAAACAGTCGGAACGCGGAAATCCTAACTTTTCCTTCCAACCGGTGTCGGTGTCGGCGCTGTGGGCCACCGTGTGTGTGTGTGTGTGCGCTGGAGGTCACGTGTATCACATCCGTCCTCCACCCCGCAATCCTTTCGAAGCCGCAGGGACCCGTCGGAAAGATCCGGATCCGCCACTCTACGGCATGTTAGGGCCCCACGCTACCGCGCATGCTCACTAAACATCCGTCGGCAATGTCGCACTTTTCTCGTGCCGTACCTCCCATCAGGCCCTCTCGCTCATACCATTACCACCACTTCAAAAAGAGCGGGGCCCATCTCGCTTCGTCAGCACCTCGCGCCCACCCCACCCCCCACCAGCTAGGGTTCGGCCCCCCCCCCCGCAACCCATAAACCCTCTCTTCTCGCTCCCCCCTCCACCTCCACCTCTTCCGGTCACCCGTCCACGTCCATGCCATCTAGCCCCGCCAGCTCCTCCGCAATGCCCTCCTCCGCTGTCGTACGCTGAAGTTCCTCGATGACGTAGAACAGCAGGGAGAACTGCTTCCGGCGCCGCTACGGAGGGGTTGGAGGGGGGCCGGGGGCGGGGGTTGGAAGGGGGGGAAACGGAGGGAAGGGGAAGTGGGAGGGGAGAACCCCTAAAACCCTCAACTAACCAACCAGCTAGCGTGCCCTAGGCTATGCATGCGTGAGCCGTAGGTTGGTTTGATTGGTAAGAAAGTAGCGTAGTTAGGTAGGATGACTAAATTGGCAATGAGGTTCGCGACGTGGAGGTTGTATGAAAGTGGTGGAGGAAGGGGGTGGGATGGGGAGGATGGGGGGGGTGCCTAAACAAGCTCCTCCTCCCGGCGCCCCCTCTCCTCACCTCCATGAGCTGCGCTATCCGCGCGCCCTCCGTCTTGGCCTCCGCCATCAGCGCCATCTCCGCATCCATGGCCGCCTGGGTAACCTCCCTGGAGGGGTGCTCCATGATCTGGTGGCGAAGAACCTTCGGGAACATCACCACCAGGCCACCATGTCCACCACCACCACAGCAAGAGGTCGGAAACATGTTATGTTGCAAAAGTTACGGATCAACCGCCGTCGCGTGTGTGTATGTGTGTATTCTTAAAACGGATTATTTAATAACGGGGGGAAACACGGGACAGGGCCGGGGGAACGGAACAACGAAACACAGCAGGACGCACTGCACCGAGCGACGCCAACAGCAGCGCGCGTGTGTCCCAACCTCGCTCCCTCCCCAGCCGTCCCAACTCCCCCCCGGGGCCCCCCTGCCGGCCGCACACCCCCCCCACCTCATACTGCTGGTTCTGTCCCAGCACTTGCTTAGCTCTCTGCAGCTCCAGCTTCTTCTCCTCTATGTCCCGTTTTGTCTGTAGCAGTGTTGCAAGAAAGGCGGGAGGGGGGAAGGAGAGGGGGAAAAGGAGGTGAGGTGGTGTTTGTGGCACGGCAGGCGGTGACGACGGATGTGTGCTCCTGTGTGATTGCACGACCCTCGCGACGGTGTGTGTGTGTGTGTGGCGAGGTGAAGGAGGTGGACCTGGCTGGTTGGCTAATCGTCGTACATATCGGATAACACGTCATTATCTAACGCAGACCGAAGATGAGGAGGGGGTGGAGGGGGAGGGCTTAACCCCCCCATCCCGCACTCACCCCCACGCCTCCCAATCCCGCACTCACCCCCACGCCTCCCCATCCCGCACCTACCTGCTCGATGGCCTCCTCCAGCTCGCGCTGCTTCTGGTTGTACGTGTTCTGCTCCCGCGTGTTCGCCTCACAAACAGACCGGAGCTTCTTAGCCTGAGTGGAGAGAAGGGTGGGGTGAGGTGGGGTGGGGTGGGAAAGGGAAGGGTGAGGCGCATGGGGGAAAACACAGTAGATACCATACACGCCACACTCCCCCAACCTTCTCCTCCCCTCCTCCGCTAGATCTCCCCCCCCCCCAATAACGGCCCAATCCCCCCAACAACGCAACAACCCCAACCTCACCCCAGCTACCGGCGGCCACGCAGCCCTCTTCCCTTTCTCGGAAGCTGTCCCCCCACCCGACCTCGTATCCGTACTATTCGTACTGTTCATTCGTACACACTCACGTGTAGCTCCGTCTGTGCCACCTCTCTAAGGAACTCCCGGTACAGTCGAGCCACATCAGCCTCCGCATCGGGGCCTTTATCCAACTGTTCTAGAAGCTGCAGGAACCTGCACGACGGAAAATTGGGTTGGTTTCGGTGCGACAGAATCTGCTGCCAAGAACTGGACAATATTTTTGTAGGCGGAGGCTGGAGGGTGCAAAGGAAACATAAATGGAAATGCCGGGATGGCGGTGATAAAAAGGACGGTGTTCTTGTCATTGTTCTTGTCAATGCAGTGGTACTAATGGCAGCATCAGCATCAGCAGCAGATGTACGGCACCGTTCCCGCAGCAGGGCGCAAACCCTAAGTCCTTGACCGGCCGACAGCTGCACCCGCGACCACCGTTCCTACACGACCTCGACCTCGACCCGACCCGCCGCTACCAGCCGACAGGCCGGGGCCAACACCCGGGGGCGGGCGTGGACGTATGCCAGGACGCGTGTCAAGGTGAGGGCCCAAGGGGTTCAAAGCTAGATTTGCGAGAAGCGGGAATTGGGATTGGGAGAGGGCAGCCTTACTTTTTTGTGAGGACCTTGAGCGGGAGGTTGCCCTTAGGCACCGTCATCTGCGTCAGGTAGCGCTGCTTGATGATGGCCTCCTCCTCAGCTGGCGTTAGCTTGACAGCAGCCATGGCGCCGGCCGGGAAGTGCGGGGAAAAAGCAGGAGTGGCAGCGCGCGGCGCAGGGCTGGCCCGTATCCTGCGCCCGCCGGTCAGATGCGCCTCCGCAAGCTTAGGAAGAGGTTTCGAAAGGAAGAGTTGTTATTACAAAGGGAATAGGTGTTGGCTGTCGGCAACAGCTGCTTCCAGGTTTCGTGCGGGCACTCTAGCTCAGTCGAGCTGTACTCCAAGGAATGCGCAAGATATCTTTACGATAAGGCAATAACGATGTTTGTGTAATTCCCTGAAAATGTTTTGCAAGCTTGATTGCTTAGGTGTACAACTTTGTAATGCAACCAAATTCCGAGCAAAAATTCCTTTTGCTATGCTCACGCTGCGGCACAGAGCACCTAGAGTTCCTGTAGTTACACATGCAGTGGCTTATGTTTGATAGCGCGTAGCTTGCACATTACATAAAAGTTCAACGATAACGAGTTGCAAGTATCGCGATCGGGTTGCTCGTGTTGCAGAATGCCCAGCGCATTCCTGACAATTCCAGCCCGAGGAGCTGAGCTTACAAGCACTTCGGGCCGGTCGGCCTGCCATCACCTTGGAAACGCTTGCAGAACGCGCGAGCACACTAGGAAGCGACACAGTGCGTGCCACGTGGGCCCATCGCATTTTTTTGCGCAATTCACCGCTCATCACTCATCTTTCGCGCACCGTCGAAGAGGCTCCTCGCGAATCCAATGCCCTGCAAGTGGAACCCCAGCGGTCAGTGTGGAAGAGGACACCTGGAATGGCAAAGATACGCGGCCTCACCCTGCGCCTCCAGAAGATTTAAGCCCAACGGACCTGCTGGGGGGTGAATGCAGCATACAGGAGCTGGCCGCGCAAGTCCATGCGCTCAAAGGACTCGTTCAGGCTCAGCAAGACATACTCTACTCCCAAAAAGCTCAAATAGATCAGCTTGTGGAAACCCTCCAAGAGGAGCGCCTGCGCGCAGCGCAGAATGCCATCGCAATGCCGGAGATGCCGCAGCAGCAGCAGCGCCCGCTGCTGCAGCAGCAACCACAGCTACGGCCCTTCGACTTGCAGCGCATCGCGTACGGCGACCGGCGCCTGATGGGGCTGTACGACGCCCGCTTCCACTCCACCCACACGTACGTGCCCAGGCGTGTTGTGGGGCCAGTGGTGGTGGTCGCTAAGAGAGGAAGGAGGGGAAGGGGGGCCTGGAGCCAATGGTGCTGCGTGTTTTACACACACACACACACACACACACACAGGCACAGACACAAATATACACATGCACACAATTCTTCGCCACATTCCCAGATCTAACATACATACATACATACACACGCGAAATGAAGCAGTTGATTACGCGGTTGGAGGAGTGAAGTGGGGGCTGGGTGTGTATGTATGTATGTATGTATGTATGTATGTATGTGTTACGACGCTGGACCCACTGCACCCCAATTACCCCCCACACACAAACAGTAGGCTGTTGCCGCTCCTGTTAATGCTGCTACTGCCGCTGGGCGGGTCCGGCTTTGCCGTTCTAGCTGCTGCTGCTATTGGGGTTCCCGGGCAGGCTGTACGGATGTGTGTGTTTGGGGGGGGGGCCCGGCGCGGGGAGATGGGTTGGGTGAGGGCAGCCGCATCGGCATCGGAGACAAATCCAGGGAGGGCGAAGAGGAGGAGCTGGGCCAGGACACCGCAGTCAGTCAGCTGCGGGGAGGAGTAAGGAACCCACCTCCCCAGCCCGCCCCTTACCCCGCACCGACCCCCGGGACTGGGACATGCCGTACAATTGTATCGCTGCCTCGGGGCACTAAACCCCGGGGGGTTCATGTTCTAACCCGCGTGTATGTCTGTATATATATGTGTGTGTTTCCTCCTGAGTCCCAGACCAACCGGCCCCCACCTCCCCTCCCTCCGTCCTCCGGGCTGTTTCCCAACCCCCACCCGCACACACAAACATACAAACATACAACAACGGCAGCGGCGCCATCCCCTCGGATCTGCGAATCCTGCCGGACCGCATCATCCTTGTACGGCATGCTGAGTCTGAGGGCAATGTGGACAACAAGGCGTACACGTACATCCCGGACAGCCAGGTGCCCCTGGTGGGTCGCGTGGCTGCCTGTGTGTGCATATGTATGTATGTATGTGTGCGTATGTATGTATGTCGTAATTTATGTTGGTTGAGTGAGAGGGAGGGGTGACGTCAGCAGCGGCCCACCCGCGGCGGCTGAGTGAGGTTCCCCGGGGGGGGCCCCAGCGGCCAGTGGGGGGGAGGAGGAGGGGGAGGAGGAGGAGGAGGAGGAGGGAGAC